TATGTTAAATTTATTTTAAATTGTCGGTATAGTATATATAATATAATATAGCATAGTATAAACGAAAAGTAAAGTTCACTTGTACGAATAAATTACACTTTCATATATGCTACGTATTTTAAAAATAACCTTGGAATAATTTCTTTTCAAAATTTAACATATTGGAAATGATTCAGACGATCCATGCATAATGTTACACGAGATCAATTAAAAAGGTCAGTCAGACAGATGATCGAATATGAAAAATAAAAACAACACGATTATTTTTGTCAAATTTCAATGATTATGCAAATACGGTGAGTGAATGGACACGAAATGTTTAAAACGAATGAAAAAGAATTCGAGATATTGTTGACCCGTTTCGAAATTTCCGGAGATGATGTCAACCGAATCGGCTTCTGCGCGCATTTCTCGAGGGAGCAACTTCAAGCAGCAAAACTGACTTAAGTGCGCGTGTACGGGATAAGCGCGGCCACTTTCACGTTATTTTTTGTTCGATCGTATAGTCGCCGCTCCTATTAGGCCACGTCAAAATTAACTTGGTCGTTAACTGGAACAACGTATTCTTTTCGAATGATCAGATCCGCCGCAGTGAAAAATGTGAAGAATACATAGAGGCTGTCTACGTCGGTACATCGAGGCCGTCTGACAAGGTAGATAGCACTCAGCTCGAGTACTATTTTTGTTCCAGTTGTTAACCTCAGCCGACACACTTGCAGAAATGTCATTCGAAGGGAAATACAACGCGAAAAGTCCCGGTGAGTTCCGAAAAGTATACGAATTTCCTACGTTTCTCTATTGTCACGATTATATGCCTATGAGAAAGGAACGCATACGTGCTTCTTGCAATTCCACCGAACGTTATCTGTCGAAGAAATTAGCTCCGCGTTATCTCGTGATACGTGTCACCAAACTATCTCCTTTAATACGCAATGTTTCACAAACACCAAATCATTTTACGTGATGAAGTATGTTTTATGTATTCTAGTAATTGTAATTGATTAAGTGCATCTAGCCACTATGATACTACATGTAATATCATATTCAGGTATTTGTGAGTGGCTTAACATCATTTGACAAATTCAATTTCAGCTGTGAAGAGATTAATGAGAGAAGCACAAGAGCTTCATGAGGCTACAGAGGAATATTGTGCATCACCCTTAGAAGACAATCTTTTTGAATGGCATTTTACTGTTCAAGGACCGCCATCTACTGATTTTGAAGGCGGTGTATATCATGGTAGAATTTTACTGCCACCAGAATATCCTATGAAACCTCCAAATATTATACTGTTAACAGTAAGCAATTATAATACGAAATATACCTATTATTTAATTTGTATATTAGAAATAAAAATATATTAGATATGTTTTTTAGCCAAACGGTCGGTTTGAAATCAATAAAAAGATTTGCTTAAGTATATCTGGTCATCATCCAGAAACATGGCGACCTTCTTGGAGCATTAGAACAGCTTTGTTGGCTTTGATTGCTTTTATGCCAACACCAGGAAATGGGACAATTGGTTCTTTAGAGATAAGTAAAGAAAAAAGACAGAAACTTGCTAAAAAGTAATTGATTCAATGATTTAATATTTTACATTGTGAATAAAATGAAATATTCATAAAAATTTCTTTCATCACAGATCTCTAAGTTGGCAATGCGATACTTGTGGAAAAATTGTTGATTTATTGTCGAAAAATACAGTTAAAAAGCCCATCACAGAGGAAGAACAAACAATGTTGAACACAATTGCTTTAAAGGTTCCTTTTTATTACTATCATATTAGCCTTGACAATTGTATCAAATATTTTTAAAACTTATATTTTTAGGCTGATGATTCACCAACATCTGACACAGCTGTGAATGCAGAAAGCAATGCAGAAAATGAACTGAGGCAACGTAATGTTGATTCAACTCCTACCGAAAATCAAGATCGACAACAATCAGATGTTATAATAAACCAACAAGTAGAAACGATGTCATCTTCAAACGATTTATTTTGGAGCATTCTTATCGCTTCCCTAGTATCAGCGATAATTCTACTCGTTTTGCGACGGCTATTTCTTGTTTAAATTATTCTAAATGTAACAAATGTTAATATATCTGTAAGTATATTAACAAGACGAAGTAAATTTTATACACGTTTTATGAACAACATTTTTAAGATTAGAAGAGAATGTCAAATTTATACACGTTAGAAATTACCTGGATTCCATGAAAACAATATAAGGCAGAGATTGCACTGATATATCTATGTTAGTACATATCTACCTAAATCTTACAGAAAATTGTTCACTTCGTAACAGAAGTTATTTGTTTTTGATGAATATAAAAACAATGAAAATTCTAAACTACTAAATTGCATAACTCTATTTTTTGGTCAGCTGTATTTACTAGTCTCTTAGATTTATTTTTATCCTTTTGATATCAAATACTTGCAAGGAATTACAAATTGCATTTAACACATATACTTCAACCTTTGTTGATAACTTACACATACTCCTTTTAGTTGCATATAAATTACTCCAAAGTAACAAACAACTATATTATTTCCTACAAGCCATGCTCTGTTTGTAAAAAATTTGCAAACATTTTTTAACCAAATCTATTCTATAAAGAAGCTAACATTTTCTATGAAAATATACTTTAATCTCATGTTACTATGGTCTGAAATTACAATCATATATTTTTTTTTTCTCTCTCATCGTTATATAAATGTAGATACTTCATGTTAGAATTGTATATAACTAATATAACATTAATATAAGTTAAAGATGCTATTGTGTTGTATCTCGCGAAACTGTGCACATAAAAAGCAAACAAATACACCAGTTTAAAAAAATACTTAATTGCAGTACAAATATTACACCAATAATTCTATTAACACCTTTTAATAACTAACATATTATATATAAAACAATGGACAGAATAGTGCCAGAATGCACTACAATCAAAATAAATTAGATACGTATATCATTCGTATAATATCGAACTGATGCGTAATCAAACACTATTTGAAGTATATATATATATATATTTAAATAATAGCTTCTAAAGCATTGCACATTATAACCCGTTCCATGCTTTAGTATTATTTAGACATGATTAGCATTTAGAAGAAACTTTTTTGCATTGTATTTAGACATGTTGAACTAAAATTTAACCATTATGGGGCCATATGGAACATGGTTTCATTATATACGTGTGTAATAATTAATTAAAAAGGTATTTGGGTACAAAGTACACTTTTTGTCATTTGTTCTTGCATGTACATAGAAATATAATAAAGTAACGATTTATTAAAGCATATAAATACATTGATTTTAACATCTGTGATCATACAATAATTTTTCTTTCATCCACCTTCATATTTAACTTTACACTCATTAGCCGATTTCATTTTAAACATTGGATCAACATGTGATATTGTCAGGCAAATTAAACAGGAGGATTTTGACGTCATTGCCTGATCAAACAAACGGAAAATAGACGTTAATGCTATCCCCACTACTCCTTCGGTCATACACTGCCAAAGATTGAGGGAAAGTTGCGGTGTAGGTAAATGGTTTAAATAAATGATTTTCAGTCAGCTGTTGATAACGTAGCACGTCGATAAAAGAAAATATTTCATATAGAGCTTACTTAAGAGGGTATACCTTAATTTAGAAGGAAATTGATTGGAGTTTTCTCAATTTTACAGTCTAAATAGAAAGGAGTGCCCTAGTAACAACTATTTCAATAAATTTCTGATGATTCTCGATGATATATGAGTAAAACAAGGAAAGGATTAGGGGTAGCCAAGGGTAGTAATAGTTCCGTGTGTTAGACAAGGAAAGATATAGGTAAAGACAAGGACAGACAAAAAATAGCGGACGAGACTAATGCCATCTCGCGTTTGGTGACGTGAACTGCGATTTCTTAACAGGAACACAGGATATAGACAGAGGTATTAGACAAGGAAAGCACTAGTGTGCGAGAATGAGAGAGAGAAAACACTTCCTATTGGCTGGGGGGGCGCC